AATCAGAATCAGCGATAGTATAAGAATTAGAATCAGAATCAGAATGAGAATCAGACAAAATTAAAATTAGATTCAGAATCTGACATAAATTTAGGCTCAGAATCAGAGTAGTAATTACAACTACAATCTGAACCAGAAGTAAGATAAGAATTAGAATTGGGATCAGAATCTAAATTGTAATCAGAGTCAGATTCAGTTAAAATTGGAATCAGAAGTAGAAACGGAATCAAAATGAGAAGCAGAAGCAGAATGAGAATCAGAATGAGGACCGCAATCAGAATTAAAATCTGTATCAAAATGGAACTTAGAAGTAAAATTAGAATGAGAACTGGAATCAAGATTAGAATCAGAATTAAAATGAGAATCAGAAGTATAATTGGAATGAGAGTTAGAGTCAGAAACAGAACAGAATCATACTTAGAATTGTAATTAGAATCAGAATAATTATTAGATTTGCACTCAGAATCAGAATTAGAGCGGAAATCAAAATTAGAATCAAAGTGAAAATTAGAATCAGAATCAGAGTGAGAATCAGAGATAGAATTAGAATGAACATTAGAATGAGAATCAGTATAGAATTAGAATCAGAATAATTATTAGAATTACAATCAGAATCAGTAAAAGAATCACAAACAAAATTCGAATTAGAATCAAAATTAGAATTAGAATCAAAATTAGAATTAGAATCAGGTTTATTTTACCTGTTATTTCCACAGGTACAATGAACTGGTCTTCTTGGGTGCTTATGTTTAACATGCATGTGCTAGACTGAGCACGTACAGTAGACTATTAGCAAATACAGAGCAGATTTAGGTGTTTGGAGACACTTAAAGAGACTCCTAGATGCTCAGATTTAACTTTCTGAATGAGGAAAGAAATTTTCATCCAAATACATGGAATAAAAATAGTGGTTTTGTAAATTAGGGCCTACAACCTGTGTCCCAAATTAACCAACATACCAGTTTAGCGCCCTCGAGGTTATAATTAAAATAAAGCATAGATATGACAAAGGTTTAATAAGTGACAGTGTACATGCGCATATGGAACCAGAATGCTGTTTACTTCTATTGTACAAGTACAATGAATTTACATTTTGTGACCTGCTGAGTATGACACTTATAATAGCTTATAAAGCTATGTCTTATCATCTATGAATACATACAGATGTACAAGGTATGAGAAGACACAGGACACTATATGATATACAGTGTGATATGAATATTGATACAGTGCTATATCATGGAACAAGTGATACATTTGTGCTGTATGGTGCTGAGCAATAGGCCACAGTGGAGGGGAATATGGGTACAAAGCCTGGTCTCCTGCTTCTGATAACTGCTCACTATGATTTTGGAGCTGCTTCATCACTTCACCTCAGATATGACAGTGTGGATTGGCCTCTCAATCCCAATCATTACCTTTCGTTTCACATTTTCCAGCTAAGATTTTTTAACACAGTTGCCTTAAATGTACGTGCAGTTTAATACTTGTATTTACTCTGTGTTTGCCCAGATTAAGAGGTTTTGTATTATCTATTGAAATGAAGTTAGGCTTTGTAAGACCGATTAGCATAAATACAGTATTCTCATCAATTAAGACAGTTTTAGCATATTCATATTTATCCTGTTCCGTTAGAGAGGCTGATTGTTTGTGCAGGTTTTCCGCTTCTGTTCCCAAAGGGACCTCCTTTTGATTAAGCAGAGGAAAACGCTGCTGGTATTTTTGGAGAAGATTTGCATTATTTAGGAGTGAGTGATCATATAAGGGGCACTGCAAGCGCTATTTATGAAAAGCACACACACACACACACACACACACACACACACAGGTGCTGAGTGAGGGGGCTCTCAGGGATTTAAACACTATGTGGATGTGAGTCTTGAACATTGAACATATGGCGACTTGTGTGTTGTCAAAGCAGCCCAGATTGACTGAAAGCTCTGGATCCCATCTGACATTTCTTTCTTTTTTTCTATTTTTCTTTCTTGCTTTTCTTTCTTTCTCTTGAAATGGCATTCACTCACCTTTTTTTAGAACTTACTACCTTATTTTTAACACATACTTATTCTTTTATTGGAATTTCTTTTGAAAAGTCAAAGTTGACATACACCAAAAAGTCAGGTCAGCTTAACATTTTAAGTGAACATTCTGCACACCTGAATTTCTCAAATCAGTATAGTCAAAAGTAAGTGAAAAAAGAAAGACACTCACAATTGCAAATAGTCTACTGTCAACCCCTTAAAATCCCAAGCTTATTACACACTACTTACGACTTATTATTTGGTAACTACAAGGACTACAGTGTTATTATTACGTTATAGATGTATGTAATAAGACTTTGGAACCACCGGTGAGTATTTTTTCATTTTTACTTTTTATTGCCTACGCTTACTTTAGTTTACTACAAACTATATTTGTTGTCCCACTTATATGTAGTTCTGTTTAAGTACACTTTTCATTCATCAAGGTACAAGCAATGTAAATGTTCCCTCAAAGGTACAACAGTAGTTTTAAGGTCCAACTGTGAACCTTAAATAAGTTTTTCCAGGTGAAAAGTACACATTTGTACATTTTCATAACTCAATGTTTTAAAACAGGACAATAAAATAAAAAGCCTTTAGACGAGACGGGGTGTGTGGAGTCAGTACTAATTAGAAAATATTTCAATGGATTATGGTACAATTATGTTCCCTGACTACAAGTACTGAGATGTACCCTTGAGGGTCCCACCCCAGTGACAAGAGGGGTACTGCCCCAGTGACAGTTTACTACCTACCTTGTAGAAGTGTAAGCTTAGTTGAGACATTTTTAAGATGATGACTGCAGACAGTTCTATTCTGGTGGATTGTGAGAACTTGTAGTACTGAATTCCAGAGGTGTGGGAAAATATCCCTGCAGATACAGAATAACTGAAAATAAGTATCTCTAAAAGAATGGACAATGTAATCCTACTATAAAAATCTGATATTATATTTAATTGTTGGGTCTTCTTGGGTAAATTTAAAGATATTTTCCATTTTTTTTCTGACACTGAAAAATGAATGACTTGTTCTTAATGTCCATATTGATTGGGAATTAAGTAACTGAAGGCTAGTCTCTCTGACAGTACTGAAAACTGAAGTAATCTTCACCTGCACCTCCCAGTCCTGTTCACGAAATGTGAAAAGAATCAACGAGACCAAAGAGGATCACTTCTGATTATGCTATACATTTCACAAACACTCTGAATGCCAATGCCATGACACTTTTCATTCATGTATGTTTCATTGAAAAGCTGAATCAGAATGAGTAACATAATGTGGTTCTAGAAAATCAGAAACACCTTCCCAGGTTCTAGAACAGATCCCTAAATGTGATCATTGGATGCTACCCAACCCTAACTGGGACTGACAACCTAATAATCTATTAACTACCTGTTATAGTGGGGAGGGGCATCATGGTGGCCAATCAACCTCTCCAAATAGTAATTAAAGACATGTAAGGATATGTTGGGGTTATATTAGTGATACACTGAAATCAGAATTGTTGGTCAAAGCCTAAACCAGGATTATCATGTAGGCTACAGAATGTCACAGGAAATCCAGTTACCTCGACAACAGAGAATGTTTGGCCTCCAAAGCAATGAATTTCATTATTTTATGTTAAACGTTGCACTTTGGCTCTGTAGTTTGTTGTTTTTATGATTTTAAAACATTGAGGCTACAGATGGCATTGATATGCTAGCAGGGGCTTTCCTTTCAGCTTTTATTGTTCTGCTGAATTCTGGGAATTGTTGTGTTTATCAAATCTGTACGTTTTGAGAGATACGTTTTGAGATGTTTATTAAAAGTGCGCACTGGGTCTCTCCATGTTTTCTGTATTTTATGGAAGGTATTTGCAAAAGGTCAGTTTCTACAGATCTAAGATCTCATGCTGCAACAGACAGACATTCTGTGATGCTTTCAGGTCATTTCCAGCCTAAAACCTAGGAGCAGAACTTTAAAATCTATCGTGAATGATGCAGGGAGTCAGTGCAGTTCTTTCAAAACGGCAGTGACATGATCTCTCTTTTTTGTTTTTGTTTGGATCTGAGCTGCTGCATTTTGTATGAGTTGTAAAGGATGTATTGTTTTCTTAGGAAGTCCAGTAAGAAGGGCATTACAGTAATCAACTCTGCTTGTAACAAATGCATGTAGACCTATTTAATCTTTTTTGGTAAAATCTTTTGACCGTGTTTCTTTCTCAGGCCTTTTTAAAGAGATTTTCAGCCAAAATTCAGTTCATACCTAACTTACGTATGAAGTTGTCCATTGCTGTTTATGCATTATGTATCAGGCTCCCACTGGAATTTAGTGTTTGCCCCCTGTTATAACCGCTACATCCCTGCTCGCATTTTATTTCCTAACTCATCTATTCTGCATCATTGAAAGCATATACAGTGTACTGCCAAACACAGTGTCATGCACATTCTCACTTTCTGTCTTAAACACACACATACAAAGTGTTGAAGTCCCTGAGAGCCCAGAAACACTGAGGTTCAAAGCAGCAGAGATTTGATGGCTTGTTGACTGCAGGCTTGTGCTCTTGTGTCTTTTGTTTATATATATAAATATATGTTCTGCTGTCAGAAGTATCTCCATTTTTGGCGGTTTTTAGTTTTTGACAGTCTGAAAATGCCTGTTGACCTTTATATTTACATTGTACATAAATTTCTTGAAGAATGGACCAAAAGAAATGGCCATTCCATTGACTTACATTAAAAGTAAAGTAGGTTTTTTTCCTTCTCCTGTATATACATACATACATTTGCTATATATATACATGTATGTATATTCACTCACACAGGTACGCTGTACACAAGCAGTATGTGTTTGTTGGTTAGGTTTGGGTTTGTTTATCTTCTTGTTTGTTTTCTTACTCTCTGGTAGCCTTATTTATTTATTTTATGTCTGGCCCATTTACTTTCATATAATCTAATGACTCTCCTTCTCTCTCTCTCTCACTCTCCCTTGTTCTCTCAGGCTGTGCCTTCCTCACATACTGTGCCAGAGAGTCGGCGCTGAAAGCTCAAACTGCCCTCCACGAGCAGAAGACATTGCCTGGGGTAGGTCATCCCATTCTACATCCAGCACACACACAGACACACATCGAGCCAACAACAGTACTTACACAAAGGCAGCACTGTGCAAAAGTCAGTTCATTCCTAAATTATATACACTTTCATTTAATTTCTACTCAAAACAGCCTTTAAGTATAAGTTTTTTAATTTCTCAGCATCAGGCAAAAACTGATAACTGGGAAAATGCATATGTAACAGAAAATTACACAGAAGCTCCAACTATGGAATATAATATCCCTTTTTTAGTATTTAGTGTGTCCATTCTCTGACTTTATTACAACGTCCGTTCTTTTCAGGAGACCAAAGTTCAGTCTAAGAAGTAGGCTGCATTTTATGCTTCTCACCATCCAAGTTCACTAATGTTGAGGTCTGGACTCTGGGGTGGTCAGTTCATTATTCTGAGAACAGCAGCAGCTTCAATGTTGGATCTGCACACGTTTGTCTTTGTTGTCTGCCTTATTTTCTCAGTGAGGTTTCTTAACAGCTACACATCCTTTCAGACCCGTAGCGGTGAGTTGTCTTCTCACAGTGAAAACACCTGTGGATGTTTTCAGATCTGAAGCAGCTTGATTTTCTCCACTCTCTCAAAGATGAAATCTTTAAGTGCTGTTTATCTGATGAGGGTTTTGGAGGTCTACAAAGTCTTTCACTGTTGATTGGAGTCTCATTTCTCTATATCTTTAGTTTTTGAACTCTAGTGTTGGAAACTAGTTATTCAACTATTTTCTCTTTCATTATACAAGTGGATTATCATATGTCTAATCTCCTCAGACATATTTCCTGAAAAATAAGTAACTTGGAGGTTCAATGAAAGTTGTTCAGTGATTTTGCACAGTGCTGTGTGTTAACATTTATTCACACCCATACAAATGACACATAATACACATAGTATGAACATGAACCATAATCACACAGATGCTTTCAGCTCTATCTCTCTATCTCTCCCACTCTTTCTGTTGCTCTCTCTCTCTTTTGGTACCCAAGGGTAGCGGCCAAACAGCATCATTGTCCTATTTATAGTGTCTTTGAGTGTGTATGTGTGGGTGCCATATGTGTGTAAGCGGATGTGCACACATGAAAGTCTGCAGGCGGGTTCGTGTGTGAGTGCTCAGTGTGCCAGGCATGTATGCATGTCTCCCACCTCAGATTTAAACCCCTACCCCACCTTGCCGTTGTGTGTGTTTGGTGTGTGTGTGTGTGTTTTGATGTGTCTCCGTAAGCCCTTGCTGGGTTCGGTTTGGTGTTGTGTTTTAATGACGCCTCCAGGGAGGCTGACAGTCGCCGTGTCGACCAGAACGCCTTTGATGCGAGTGATTATGACATCATAGATGTGGAGCAGAGAGAGAGGGAGAGAGAAAGAGAGAGAGATACAATAAATACAAATACAAAAAAAGGTAGGGAAAGACAGCACGAAAAAGAAGTAGAGAAAACGAAAGAGACTGAGTGAATGAGAGGAACAGAGAAACAAAGAGACAAAAAGATGAGGAGAGAGAGAGAAAGAGAGAGGAGGCGAGAGTGAAAGAGGGAGTGAAAGAGAGAGCGAGTGAGAATATAGAGAAAAAGAGGGAGGAGGAGAAAGAGCAAGAGAAAGAAATAGAGAAAACAAGAGAGAGAGATAAAGGAAAGTCAAAAATAGAGGAAAGAGAAAAAACTGAGAAAGAGAAAGAAGAGGACAGAGACAGCAAAGAAAAGAAATACAGAGTGGGTGAAAAGAGAGAGCAAGCGAAAGAAAGATAGAAGAATGAAGGAGAAAGAATGAGAGGAAGAGAGAAAAAAGGAGAAACAGGAATGAGTGAGTAAAAAGGAGAGAGTGAAAGTGAGTGCAGTAGTGAGAGAAATACGAGGAGAAAGAAAGGATAAAGTGAATGAGAGAGAGAGAGTGAAAAAATGAGCAAGAGAAAAAGGGAGAGATTGAAAATGAGAGAGCGGGGAATGAAAGAGAAAGCGTGAAGGAGAGAGAGTGAGAGGAAGAGATAAAGGAAAAAGAAGAAGAGAGTGAGTGAGTGAGTGAAAAGGAGAGAGAGTGAAAGTGAGTGCAGTAGAGAGAGAAATATAAAGAGAAAAAAGAGAAAGTGAACGAGAGAGAGAGATGTAGGAAAAAGGAGAAAGAGCAAGAAAAAGAAAGATTGGAAAAAGATAGCAAGAGAAAAGGGGAGAGACTGAAAAGAGAGAGCGGAAATGAAAGAGAGAGTGAAGGAGCGAGAGTGAAAGTGAGTACAATAGAGAGAGAAAGAGAAGAGAAAGACAGCAAGTGAGAGATATGTAGAGAGAGAAAGAGCAAGAGAAAGGAAGAGATTGGAAAAAAGACAGCAAGACAAAAGAGGAGAGACTAAAAAGAGAGAGGGGAAATGAAAGAGAAAGACTGAATGAGAGGAAAAGAAAGGAAAGAGAGTGAAGGAGAGAAAGAAAGAGCGACAGAAAGAGAGAGAGGTAGGAAAAAGAGAGTAACTCTGTTCTCTTTCTCGTAACTCAGAAAGCCGTACGTACTTTGCGCAGTGAGTTACTCCAACATGCTACTCGTTTTCTGTGTCATTCGCTGGTGGAGATGTTTTCTTTTCTCCTCCATCTGATTGAGCGTGTGAGCATCACTCCTTCTGTGCTGTGGTGTTAATAGCTGTTGAGCTGCCATGTAAGGCGCAGTAATCTATACACACTGCAAACCCACCGACTATTTCATCCCATTATGAAGAAGCGCAGCCATGGAAATGTAGAGTCAGCCACTGCAAATGGATTTAATTGAAGTCACTACCCATCGCTATCGTTTAATAGGAATACTAATTAGCAATCAGAGCCGCGATGCAGGAGCCAGGGACTTTGCTTTTCTGGTCATGAATAGTAAACGCTAAGTAAACAGAATGAACTTCACGGGACAGACCTAAATGTTAAACAAACCTTGACGAGAGAGAGAAAGAAAGAGGTGAGGGATATTTATATAGAAGAGAGAGAGGGAGACGTGGATGCAGCGAGCGAGCGAGCGAGAGAGAGAGAGACAGAGAGAGAGAGAGATAGAGAGACGGAGAGAGAGAGAGAGGCTTTGATGCTAGCAAAGGTGAATCCACAAAACAGAACAAATGAGTTCATTAGTGGTGAAGCGGGAACTTGGCGAGAAGATGAGAAAGTCAGTGGAACGTTTTATCTGCCACAGAATCTCTCTCTTTCTCTCTCTCTCTTTCTCTCCTTCCCCTCGAGACCTCTATTTCTCCCTCCATCTCTCTCTCTCTCTGTCTCTCACCACCACTGCCTCCCTCTTTTATTCTCTCCGTCGCTCTCTTTCTCTCCTTCCCTCTTCTATGCGCCGCGCTCACAGTCTCTTTTCCAGTTCACTTGACATCTTGATGGATTTTCGGAAAGTTGTTTTTATGTTGGAAAGGTCCATCATGTGCACGGAGCCGTCCCGTCAGCCCAAAGCTGAGAGAGAGAGAGAGAGAGACTACAAAGGGACGCGCCAAGGCCTTGTGCTAATGTTAGCACCGAGCTAATGGCACTGTCACCTAAACAGAGTCAGACAATGCTGCGAATGCTCTAGTGGCTGCCTCCCTGACTTCAGCCCACCTTTACTTAAAGCTGTAGCTTGAAAATTGTACACAGCTATAAGAATTAAATAAAAAATACAGACATTTAGAGTGGTTTGACATCAAATGGTCAGAATTGTTCACAATGGTGGTGACAGGAACCAGACGTCCGAAGAGTTTAATGCTTCTAAAAGCTCCCTCACAGAAAGTTATCATGTGAAATGGTTATGAAAACACTGGCTGATGCCTGAGGCATTGTTTTGTGAGAGATTTGAGACAAGATTTCAGCCTTAAAACTGTTTTTCCAGTTGATTCTTGGCAGAGTGGTACATGCAGAGCATCATAAGGCAACATTTACCACTATTTTAACAACTTCAACACTATTTTAATCAACTTCAACATCATCACCACTGTAAAGACATCTGATTCAGGAAGTGTCTCTGAAATTGGACACAAAATCAAACCACTTTGAATGTTTTTGTTTTCATCTTTTGTCCGTTTTATAGATAACTCTATATATATATATATATATATATATATATATGCACATGCACAGACTGAGAAATCCGAAAGAAATCTGAGTTAGAGTTTACATGCACTGAGAAATCAGAAATTTTAGACCTTACTCTGATCTAAGAAATCGGAGTGTGTTGTTTACATGACCATTTGAATGATCAGATAACTGAAGAAATCCAATTGTGATCAGATGATTGAGTGCGTGTGAACACACTCATTGAGAGAAGCTCAGAAGAAGATGTAAACGTAATGTAAAACTCAAACCTAATGCCGCAGCTTTGTTTTTTTTTTTGAAATATCGCACCACTTTACCTGAAAATATGAACATACATCATCTAGAAGAAAAATGAATGCCTTAATTTCATCAAGCATGTAGTTGGTTTCTGTGCTGCTCCAAAAGTGTTTTGCTAGATCTCGCAGTAATGCTTATTACTTATTTCCGGTACTGCTGTCTGTTTTCGCACATGTGCGGACTGAGAAATCTAAAAGAAATCAGAGTAAGAGTTTACATGTGTTGAGAAATCTGATTACTGAGCTAAAATCCAGCTCTCTTTGTCACATTTCTTAATCAGATTTCTAGACCTTACTCCAATCTAAAATATTGGAGCGGCTTGGGGTCCCTGGGAATGAGCTGGAGGAAGTTGCGGGGGGCAGGGTCGTCTGGGATTCTCTACTCTCCCAACTGCTACCGCGACCCTATCTGGACTAAGCGGTTAACGATGATGATGATGATGATGATGTTTACATGACCATTTGAAAAATCAGATAACCACAGAAATCTGATTATGATCTGATTATTGAGTGCATGTAAATGCACTCATTGTCAAACCACAAAGCAAGTGTATTTGAGACACTTATTAGCTACATTAGGCTCAAAGCTCCAGTGCAAACCACTAGAAACAAACTTCTGGAATCAAACGTGTCTTGGGTGATTCATGTCATGTAGGGTGGGGGGGA